GTGGGAAAGGAAAATCAAATCATTATTTAAAGTAAAGTTAGTTTTCTATAACCTGAAAGTTTTAAGTTTTTACGTCCTGAAAGCCGGGGAGTTTAGTTCTTCTCAAAACAATTTGATTTATTTCAATGCATATCTTATTGTATGTAATGAAGTTTTTAAGATGAACTCAGAATAATGACGATAGGGATCAGGGAGTTGGAAAGAAATGAAAAGTCACTGTGTCACTTTTTCAATTTTAAACCACTCAGAAATTCAATAAGGGACAAAGAGTTACTCTTTAATCAATCACATCCGTTATTTTTGATGTTCCTCAATATAAACTAATAAACCCAAAATGTGCTAGGAGATTTATCTTGGTCACAGAAACATCTTGAGAGATGATAAATCTGAAAGGACAAGTTTGCGAAATTAATTATGGTTTCTTCAACCCACCAATATTGAGGATTAATTTACACCAAGGTTTGGATAAATTTTTAGTGAAAATACACTACTCTTTCGTATATTTTCCATGGCGGACAAGGAAATTGTGATCACTACAATTTCGCGCGAGGGCGCGGGGCTTGAAGACAGGTGAATTTTGCCAAATCTGATTGGCTACTCGCTAATTTGATCATTTTCTGACGATTGTGATAGGTCCGTGGACGATGATATCCGGGGACTCGGTTTAGCGAGAGGTATTCGAGAGCTCAAAACATGGCGACCGCTAACGACAAACAGTGGCAGAAAGATGCAGCCGATCAGAATTTCGATTATATGTTCAAGCTTTTGATCATTGGAAATTCTGCAGTTGGCAAGACATCGTTTCTTTTTCGCTATGCGGATGATTCCTTCACGTCCGCTTTTGTTTCAACGGTAGGAATCGATTTTAAAGTGAAGACGGTTTTTCGAAACGAGAAGCGTGTGAAACTTCAAATTTGGGATACAGGTGCGTTTGTTATTTTCTATTCGTCTTTTCTAGTTTTTCCGAATAGCTTGTGTAATTATTTACATTATTTTACAGCCGGTCAGGAAAGATATCGAACAATAACTACTGCCTACTATCGTGGAGCAATGGGGTTTATCCTGATGTATGACATTACCAATGAAGAGTCATTTCAGGCAGTGCAAGATTGGTAAGGTTTTTTTTATGTTTAATATTTTTCGGCGGTGATCTTAGTTCAGCCGGCAAATTTCCATCTCGTCGCGATTTCACCTAAGGAAAATTAATTTTAATATCTTATTTCCGTAAACCGAAATTTCAAGCAGATTGCGATTCGTTCGGGTCAATTTCACTACATCAAAACAATTTACTTTCGAAGGTCGCAGTAAAGGAAAACAGAAATTTGATTTGGGAATATCACTTTGTAAATGCTAGAAAATCTATTTTCGCCTTCGCTGACGACAAAATGTTTAACTGGAGACAGTTCTGCTCGATCGCGTCGGCCGAAGATTTATTCAAAAATTATCGAAAAATTCAAAGAATGCAAAGGTGGGAATTGAATAAATATTCTAATTTGGAAAGATTAACTTTTTACTAAGTCCTTTCGTGAGAATACGCGGTGGTTACATTCAAGGCCTTAATATTCTGTCGGGAGAAATTTTGTAAACTTTGTTGTTTCAAATGTTGGACGTGTTTATAGTTTAGAATTCTTTGTATCACGCATGGCCAAGCTTATATTTGCATATTATAATCTTACTCGAATTTTCCTGTGGGGGCGGAAAGTTCGTCCTGTTTACGACGTATCGTATAGAATTTGTATTTGATTTGTATATTGTAAAAAGCTGTGAGATTACATTAAATCTCAGCTTTGTAATAGTCTTTTCTTGTGCAATTTGCTCTAGACAAGTCAACGATTAATTGAAAGATACCGCGATATCTTTAGACCAGATCAGAGACCATGTTAGTCTCGATCAAACCAGATGTACAAAAATATATTTATCTTTAGCCCGGTTCATTTCATTTGCGACTGAAAACATGACAGAAGTTGGCATAAGTTTCTGTAAGATGTGCGATTTAAATTTAATCACACGTAACGCCTTGTTTACGCTTGAGTAGTAAAGGATGACAAATGAAAATTGCCAAAAGTTAACCAGGTAAACAATTTCATTCAATTAATTTTATTGAAAGTAAACTGAGGAATAAATAGATCTCCTCTACTGTTTGGACTTTGTCTTTTTTGTTGCCAAATTAGTGACAAGTATGAAGCTTTTCAGAGTTTCAAGCCAACTTTAACCCTTTAAACTTTCAAGATTTGATTGTTAATTCTCCCTTCTAGCTTCTACACATTTCCTTTTAAATTAGTTACAAGAATTTAGTTTTAGATCAAGATAACAACTTCTACCAGACAATATTGAGCATCCTCATTACATGTGTGCTAGATGATATGTGGATTTTGAAGGGAGAAGTTACATATTGATCACTTGTGGAGGTTAAAGTGAATTATGCAACGACTAGATTAACCTTGTACTTATGATGAACATGTCTTAGAGTAAATAGTACCTTTTGATTGGACTCATTTCCTTGAATACAGGTCAACACAAGTGAAGACCTACTCTTGGTCAAATGCACAAGTGATCCTTGTTGGAAACAAGTGCGACATGGAGGAAGACAGAGTTGTGACTTATGAGAGAGGGAAGCAGCTTGCAGACCAGCTTGGGCTGGAGTTCTTTGAAACCAGTGCAAAGGATAATGTCAATGTCAAACAAGTGTTTGAGCGTCTGGTGGACATCATCTGTGACAAGATGTCTGAGAGTTTAGATTCTGATCCGACTATTGTTAGTGGACAGAAGCCTGGAACAACAAAGATATCTGACAAGCCTCCTCAGCAACAGGACAGTGGCTGTGCTTGTTGATCTCTGTAAAATGTTGTATCTTCTGAATAGGAATGATGTTATATTTCATTTGAAATTTTAAGGATCTTTGCAAAGTTGCAGGTTTGGTTTTGTGGCAGCTCTGTTGGTTGTTAGATAGACTGATAGAATGATAGAGTGTCATTTATGCTTAGTTCTTCTTCATCGACTAAACTGCAGTTTTTTTTTCCTACCAACCATCATTTACCTCTTGGTGAAAATTTAAAGTTGGTTCTTCAACTTCAACTGATAGTTTTCTTTATTCTCATTACTTGCCCGCCTGATGGTTCATGAAGTTTGTCTGAGAATTTACTGGTGGGTTACTTCCCAACATTATGAAAAATTTATTTCATTAATTTAATCAAGTGATCATATCAATAGTAACTGACTAGAAATTTGACTCAAAACTCACTAATTAATTGTATTTCTGTTAACTCTTAACTGTTGCACTTCCAAGATTCAGTTATTTATTCTCTTTACTGTCTGCCTTAATATTCTTGTTATATTAGTTTGAAGATCTACTAATAATCTCCTAATAAGATTTTTCGTTAGTCTCATCATTTGTCAGCATGATGTTGTAGGGAGCGACTCTGTCTTGGTCATGGGTCAATTAACAAGACTATTTGATTAACTCCCAGTTTCTCCCAACACTGCTGTTTACCTTCTTAAGGAAGATTGAATGATTCTGAGAGTTGAGACCTCAAAAACCTCAATTCGGATCTGTTTTAATTTTAAAAAATTGTACAGGAGGGGATAGCCATAACTACTTGTGACTGATAGCTCAAGGATAATATCAGTGTTATTTTTTTTTCTTGAATTTGTCTTTGGTGAATGGTTTATGGTCAATCAAGTAGAGTCATGTTGTCTCACAGAATATCCCACACCCTACCTTTGACAGGAGGAAATCTTGGTAACAAATCTACTTTCACAACCCTCCTAGGGAGGCTACAATTTTCTTAATAGTGCAGTTGTCATTGCCGTGTGTAAATCTCTTATTTCGTCATATTTAAGCTTTTCCATAACCCTTTGGGTGTTATTAGCTTGAAATAAGCAATACTAGTTGTATTGTTATAATTGTGGAAATGAAAAAGTTATGCAAGTTAAATTCACCTACCAAGAAATAATTTATTTTTGTGGTCAACACAAGTGACCAATTTTGTCACAAAAAAATGGTTTCAGAGATAAAAGCTGAATGCAAATGTTTTCTCTTTGAAACAGGTGTTTGTTAATGTTTGTCAGTATTTTCTTCATGTTGCAGCTTTCTGGCCTGTAAATTTATGAAGAAATATTTTGATTTTCAAATTAGTTAGGGTTGGAAACAGCAATGATTATTGACCCTTTACTTGTGAACATCAGTATCCATATTCTCCATACTTTTCTCTATACATTTGTCTGGTAGTGGAAAGGAGAATTTGTTTAACAATCAAAACTTCTCAGGTTAGCAATAATTTTCTTTACCTGTACTCTCATGAACTCAATGAATGCTTCAGCAGTATTGCTTTAAGGAAAAATTAGATTCAGGTCACTCACAAGGTTTAAAGGGTTAAGAACAGACTGTTCACTAGCTGGCATTTTTCAAAAATTTAACTGAGTTTAAGCTTGAAATGTAACAATTTGAACTTTTTCAGTTTCATCATTATAGCTAAACTAGCCTAGAATCTGTTACAACAGCATATGTTGTAAAAATAAGGGTTATTGATTTCTAAAGTGAGTAACTTCAACCCTTCCACTCCCACGATCTTATTAGTAATTCTCCTTACTGTCTGTAATACAATTCTTGTGATGCCAGTTTGGAGAATTTGGTATTGGATCAAGTAATACTTCATTTACATTTTTCTTAGTTCTCATCATTTGTCGGCATGACATAGTAATTATGTATTGGTCACTACTGGAAGTGGAAGGGTTGAAAAGGTAGCTTGAGGGAACCTTATTGTCAAACTTTTAAAACCATGAACAGTGGAAATATTTAAGAAAGTCATTCACCAGAGAGCACATCTGTGAGGAGCAATAGTTTGTGGTTCTAATTTTTCATCTGGTAAGGAAGTTTTTGGAATATTTCCAGAGTTGTCATTTTCTAAAGTTTGACTTAAGAATTTACACCTTAAACCTGCAGTTTCTGTATCTAAATTCCAAAGCAATCAATGTGGGAAACAGCTTGTAATGATTCTATTGTCACAAGCTATGTATTTGACTTTTTGCATGTTATTTTTAAGTAGAATTCACTGTGTTCTCTGAAATGTTATCTGGTGATATTCATAGAGACTATGCAAGATATTTAAAGGATTTTCTAGTTGTAGTGTGCTGAAACTAATGTTTCAACAATGCTGATTTATTGATGAGCTGATTCTAACCCAAGGCATACATGGTTAAGATTTAACTTAAGTTATTAAAATGTACTTCAGTGAAGGATGTTAAAGGTATTTATAGGGAAAGAGGAATCACATGTATTCTATTAAAGGTCAATGCATGTATACAGCTGAAAAGCATTGATGTGGAACAGACAAAAGGAGAAATTTAAGTCTGGAAAAAATTATTAAACTTGAATTCAAAGAATTAGCTGTCTGCATTTTTTATTTGCTTCAGGGTTGTTTTAAGGGATATGAGGTAAAAAGCCTGAAGGTAACATTTAATGTAACATTAAATTCTCCCTGTGTCTTACAAGGAAATATGAGAAAATTGTTAAGGAGAGGTGAACAATCCATCAGTAGTCACTCAGAGCTTTTTTCCATTCCCCCTATGAATTATAGTTGAATAAGTACAGTGTGACTTGTGGGGTTAATTTTAAAAGAAGAGTGATAAAAGAGCTGAAGCAGCTGAAAAAATGTTGAAGAAGTGCTAAATATTTTTAGAAAGTGTTCTGAGTTGTGAGAACCTCTTCTTCAGTGCTGTTTCCAATGAAAACTGAGGCTTTGTAGAAAGAAGAATAATTTGCATGGACTTTTCTCTTACATTTTTTCTGGTCAATTACGTTGCTCCGCACTCCGCGCGGGATTAAGAGTTATATGTGCCGTTGGTTGGACTGGATTGGTCAAAACTTATTTAACAAAAGGACAACTGTACAGGAAAATAACACTATCTTCAGAAACGGGACGAACAAGTGGAAAGTAGTCATTTTCTTGGCCGCTCTAGGAACTCTGAGGCATTTTCGGTTGGCTGCGCTTGGCCGCTGCAGTAGTTAAAAGGAGCTTTTAAATTCAGCATTGAGTCGATTTCTACCGTGGGGGTATAGAAATATATACTTTTTCGATTTCCGGAAATTGAGACGTCCATATTCACCCATTCAGTCGATATCCCCTGGACTACGGGAAACACTCCAAAACACACCCGACTCCTATCGGATTCCCTCTCGGGAACGTTCCAGGATCCCGTTAACATTCCAGTCAAGATAACACCGGGTCCCGTGCCGTTGTCACACCGGAATCCCGCTGAAAACCTGTAACTTAACGGGCCAGGAAAGCTGTTCTGTTTCCATTCAAGATGGGGATTTCAAAAGTTTTAAAAATTATAGAATTAAACAATCAGCAAAATAGACAAAATGAACTGGTCTGAGAGCCACTATCTAATTCTCTATTCTTTAAATTTAGATTTTAAAATGTGGCTTCGGGCCCGATAAGTTACCGAGACTTTTCGAGAAACGGGCCCCTGGATCCTACACCCCTGTGCGTGACGGCTTGGGTAATCGGGATAAATGTGAATCGCAAGTGCCTCTGGGAAGGTTTCGGCGGGAAGAATAAGCGGCCGGGCTCCGTTGACAAACCGATGTTTCTTTCACTGTTTTGTACACACGCTTCTTCTTCGAAATCTGTTTAAAATGTACATTAAACAGGTCGTTATTGACGGTTTCAAGTCGTATGCTACACGGACGACCATCTCTGGGTTCGATCCTCAGTTTAATGCGATCACAGGCCTGAACGGCAGCGGAAAATCAAACATACTTGACTCCATTTGTTTCCTTCTTGGAATTTCGAACTTAACACAGGTAAACGTTAACTTTCTTCCATATACTTTAGTGGTGGAAGACTACAAGAATTATGGGAATCTTCGTTTTTAAGCGACAGCATAGTAGAGCAGAACTGTCTTGACCTTGATACGTTCAGCGTTGTACGTCGTACTCAAAATGACAGTGGTTATACAGCTGTGCAAATTACGATTTTACCCTGGTTCTAATCTTGGGTTTGTGATACCTTTTACATCATATCTTAAAATCTTACAAGTATTGATTGCACCCTGAGCTAATCAAGTTCTGACTTGTTCTCAAGTTCTGTGTGTTTATTCCAAACTATACTCGAGTTTGTTGAACAATACTTTAATTTATTATCTTTCGTAATTTATTTAGCCAGAAATCCATCTCGTTATCAATAAATAAAGCTGGGAAGTGCAGAAAACAAAAGATTTACATGTTCTTTTACTCCTTCTGCATCTCCTTGCAAGGTATTCTTTAAGGCTGATTTTCATAGGTCGGGAAAATCCTAGCCAGATTATCAAGGATGTCACTGATTCCTTACCATCTCAGAGTTCTCTGACCTATGAAAACGCTAAATTGAAGATATTCCCAATTGTTTGCAATGATTGGTGATCATTAGATAAATATGAAAACTCCCATTTTTACTGTTGGGAACATCAGGGGTAGTTTTAGCTCCCTACCATTCTTCTAATTGCTTGGCTCAAGTACCCTGAGTCCAAAATCATATGCTATCTGTAATGCACAATTCTTTTCTAGAAGAGTGGCTGGTAATTGAGCCTAACATGTCTCTAATTCATATTGTAGTAGCCCATTAAGAAATATAGTAGTAGCCCATTAAGCCAAAAAAATTTGGATGTATGACTGTACAAGGTGCTACTTTTAACATGCGTGGTCAACTGTACCATGGGCACGCCAATGCCACGTCTTTGTCCAGTAGTCCAGTGGTTAGTGCACTGGGCTCCAAGTTGGACGACCAAGGTTTTTTTCCTGGCCGGGGTAAGGCATTATGCCATTGAGATGCATGGGAAAAAAAAAATGCGAGCTCCGCTTTTAGGCCTGGCTGAATCTATATATTACTTCTAGGTACGGGCAAGCAGTTTACAAGAACTGGTGTACAAAGGTGGACAGGCAGGGGTAACCAAAGCTACAGTTACAATCACCTTTGACAATACAGACAAGAAGCAGAGCCCTTTAGGATATGAATCTTTTGAAGAAATTACAGTTTCTAGACAGGTAAGGTCATTCTTGACGATGTCGTAGTTTCTAAGAGAGGTTCTACAAAACTTTGAACACTCTGATGAGATTTAAACATTTCAACTATTTTCTGACCAATCATAATAATGTTCAGGACATGATGCAAGCACACACTTTAAATCTATAGACTTGATCTTTGATCCACATTTGTTTTGAGAATCAAGGATCAAGTTTCAAAGGGGTGTCAACTTACTTTTAAGCAGTCCTACTTACAGTTGCTGTTGTGGTTTAGTTTTCTCATGTCTGATTTGTTTCTTGATTAGAACAGAAATAGAAAAATGATGTTATACTTTTCTGTGTTTCCTAGTAATTAAATTTGTGAGTCAAAAGCATTTGTTATGGTTAAAATAACTGTATTATTACATTCAATCAAGGTTGTTATCGGAGGCAGGAACAAGTATCTAATCAATGGCTGCAATGCTAACAACACCAGAGTTCAAGACTTGTTTCGTTCAGTTCAGCTTAATGTAAACAATCCTCACTTTCTTATCATGCAGGTTAGTAATGAAGCTGTTCATTACCAACAGTAATTTTTCAGTTGACCCTCTACACCTTGACATCAGTATGCATATTCTCCATACTGTTCACTATACATTCCCTAAGGTGCTGACAAAGAGAAATTTTTAAACAATCAATAGTTTCTTTAGTTGGTGATCATTTCTTTTATTCTCATAAATTTTCTGTTTGATTTGGGGATGCTGTGGTAAGGAGAAATTAGATGTTTGTCACTCTTAGGGGTCAAACGGTTAGGGAAGTTGAATTTTATTGGCATACAATGAGATTTATGTAATTAATTGATGTACATGAATAAAATCAGTATTTATCAACTTAACAGTGTTAATGTAGATGTATTGGTAACTATTCCATTTTTTGCCCGAGGTTCACAGCTCTGTACAAAAGTACCTTTCTATTACTGTAATTTTAATTAAGTATTGCTGCTTACCTTCTTGTTTTAGGGCAGAATAACTAAAGTGCTGAATATGAAACCACCTGAAGTAAGTTTACAGTAATATAGCTAGTTCCTTTACTCTTTATAACCCACGATCAGTATGTGTATTCTCCATACTGTTCTCTATACATTTCTTTAGGTGCTGATTTGGAGAAGTTGTTCAACAATCAAAAACTTCTTGAGTTGGTGATCATTTCCTTAATGTGCAATTCAAGGGTAACATTGCAAGGAGACATTAGATGCTAGTCACTCTTATATAATATAGTCTTTTGTGTCAGTCTTCTTCTGTTTCTTTATCTGGTGGACTGAAGGTCCATTTAAATTGCCAATGTACTTGTACTCACACACCAAAACTTTTAAATTTGCATAGCTACATGTACCAAGATTTAGCAAGAAATTTTCCCTACTAGCTGTTGTAGATTTTCTTTACAAATTAAAAACAATTTGGTGTTATTTCAATACGAACACCATCAGTTAAAATCCTTTCACCTTTATTTACTAAAGTTGTGAGAGGTTGAGTGTTGATGCCTTGTGGGAAGAAAAAGCATGGAAGTGGGAACTTAGGGGAGAAGAAATGGAAGGCTCATTCTGTAATATCCTATTTTTCCTCACCAGATACTGTCTATGATAGAGGAAGCTGCTGGAACAAGAATGTATGAGAGTAAAAAGCTGTCAGCACAGCGCACCATTGAGAAAAAGGACAGCAAACTACAAGAGATTGAAACTGTAAGAAAATAAATTTTATTATGAAAAACCAGATATATTAAATAAAATGAGAAGGGTAGTTAATTTTGAGCCTGGTTGTGAGATAAAGAAAGATGTCATTAGTGTGAGATAATGAAAAATATAAGTCTTCCATAGGGAATTGAATCTCAGATCTTTGGATTTTATTTTCCAATGCTCTGAGAAATGTCAAAAGAGTCATGTGAGTAAATATTAATAGGAAAGAAAGGAAGTAAATTTTAGTTCAGTTGTTGAGAAAGATGTTAAAAATTCAGCTTGTCTTGAGCAGAGGACAGTGTCACATGTAAACCCAGAGTGTAGTAATGACCACATGTAGCTTAGTAGCCTAGTGAGATTGTGTGCATGCACAAATATTTGATAGATTATAGATTCTTATGTGTACATGTACTGGTGTAACTCTGTATATTTTACTAGATTCTTGCAGAAGAAATAACTCCAACCTTGACCAAACTTAAAGAGGTGAGTCTAACAAAGATTATTTATCACTTCCTCTCAACTTTTTTAAGGATGAATGCAAAAAAGTACCAACATTAATCCATCTTTATACTATATGTAATCTGACATCAGATGTGGTTGTGTAGCACAGGTTACAAATTCTTGGTGTAAGTACAGTGTGCTTTGTAACTGTGAAAACATGAGTTGTGATACCTGCATTGCCATTGCTTGTTAGAACAAACTTATCTTACACATAAATTTTGTCCTTTAATTTCCAATTATTACTTTTATCAGGAGAGAGCATCTTATCTTGAATATCAAAAAGTCATGAGAGAGGTGGAGCATCTTTCAAGACTCTATATAGCTCATCAATTTGTGATGGCAGAGGTAAAAATTTTAGGGATTACATGAACAATTAAGAGCCCAAGAGTTAGTCAATATTATGGTCAATATTATTACCACTAGTTGGTAAATGGTAAACCAACATGCAATTAAAAGTTATACTGTACGTAGTTCTCGATGGGGTTATAATGTTGACCTACTATCAGGACATTTACATGTGGAAAGTTTTTTTCCCAGTCAGACAGGAGTCAGCTGTTTTTTTGGCTAATTTATGAACTATGGCTCTCTGTAGTATATACATGTAACTTCCTATAAGATTTTAATTTTACAGGATTAGCACTTTATGAACAGGTGTTATGCTCTATTTAATTACTTCATGAATTTTTGTCTCAGGATGTGCAGAAAAAGGCTGGAGTTGAACTAGAGAACATTAAACAAGAGAATGTCAAACTGAAAAAGAGATGTGAAGAGGTAATAGAGTCTGGTTCTTTCTAAGTTCATTTTGAGACATGCAGTGATTTATACATTGTTTTGTTTTGTACCTGTCTCTTGCAGATTGAAGGAAAAGTTAAAGAACTAAGTGCAGTCATCTCTGAATTAGAAAAGAAAAAGATTGCTGTAAGTCTTTCCAATACTGATAACAGTCTTCCTCAATTGAAACCATTGAGTTTGGATACTGCACTTGATAACACACCTCTAACCAGTATGGTGCAGCTGAAAATACATGACAACTGAACATCTTTATGACATTGTGCAAAGCACTTCATCCTGCAGTATGGTGCAGCTGAAAAATACATGACAACTGAACATCTGTATGACATTGTGCAAAGCACTTCATCCTGCAGTTTTTCCTTTCCTCCTTCTCGAAATGAAGTGTTGCTTGATGAAAGCTCTCAGTGACTCTTATGGACGGCTAGCCTCTCATTTCACATCATCTTGTACATGTATTTCCTGGTGAAAAAAGTGAATTTGAAGTTGCATAAAAAGTCACTTTAATCCTTATTCTGCACTAGCCTTTACATGATGTAATTTTACATACCTTACATGGCTAATTAATTCTTGTCTTGCATGCTTCCCTTTTGTACCTCTTTTCTCTCATTCTCTCCCCAGTGAGTATTTGTCACAGTATACAAATGTTAGCTTGTTATTTTACATAATATTATACTTTTAAATTTTCAATATTTTACTTTTCTGTTGTTCAACAGGAGTCTGGATCAGCCCTGAAAAAACTTGAAAATAGACTTGAGGAGGTTTCAAAGGTAATAGATATGACTTGTGTGTTGTGTTTGTTCACCCTTAGTTACACCTCACTAAATTGAATTAACCATGCAGAGCTGTGATATCAGATTTTGTATATTTTATGTATAAAGGACAATGTACAGCTGTAGGTGTTAACTTGCAAATGTTCTAACTCAACCTGATTTGAAAATGTTTACAGCATCATTTGAAGCAAGCAAAGGTTCCAATGTTTTTTAGCATCACACTTTTCAGTTTATCTTTTTGTTGAGTCTTCTTGGTGGTACCTTGATTTATTGACTGAAGAAACAATGAAACACTGGTGAAGTTCCCTAGCTGTCAGCACTTCTAATTCTTTTTGTGTGTAATCATGTAGTATTTACCAGTATTTTGGGTAGTTTTAAGTTTTGTCTTCTTTGGCAGGTTGATGTTAAGACAGAATCTGATTTGAAACACATGAAGGACACTTTGGCAGCTGAGAAGAAGAAGAAAAAAGCACTCCTGAAAAGCCTTGATGATGTGAGTAGATAAGCATTTGCAGCTTGAGAGGTTTCTTCTGCACTTTTTTACATGAGTGGTTCCTGTTACTGTTATAGGAAGGGTTTGGTTTAGTAAACATATACATTTCTAATGGCCTATTATCATGAGAACTTATACCAGTTTCATATACATGAAGCAACCTGGAGCAAAGCCACTTTTGCTGTATGAGATGCCAATCCTTTTAGGTAACACATACCCCCATTCCCCTAATGCACTAGCAAGTTTCCAAAACAATTTGTAGGTACTCATTTGTACTCCTTTGCAGAGAACAGACAGTGTGAGAGTGATACATCGTTGTTCTCTTAACTGTTCTTTATGCATATGGTACTGTCCTTAATGCTTGATCCAGGGCTGGTATTGTTGGGATAAATTAGATGCCTATTACTCTTGGGGGTTAAAGGGTTTAATAGTGTATGTGAAAAAATTATGGGCTTCTGATTGGCTGAAAACAAGTGCAATGTAAGGTAACACAGGTGCAAAGTTGTTACACAAAAGCAAATTACAAATAGTGCATGTACACTTTCAAAATTTTGTCTGTCCTGACTTTCTGTGATGTTTTTTCATGTACATTATTAACAAGTAATAGCATGATTTCTCTTGCAATTTGATGTAATATGCACTTGTAAACTTTACAATGACCACAAATTGCACTCGCCTGTTCTGTTGTCTTTGAAAAATTTACTTGTGATTATTAACACCAAATTGCACTTGAAATCATGCTATTACCTATACAAAATTCCATATCAATTGTTCAGGATCAAGCTCAATTAAAGAACAAAGAAAAAGAGCTGAAGAAGCTGAATGACCTTCTCATCAAACTGGAAGAAAAGAGTCAAGAAGACAGCAAGGCACTGAAAATAGCACAGGATCATTTCCATGCAGTGTCAGCAGGGCTATCCAGCAATGAAGATGGCGAAGACAAGACTCTTGCAGACCAGATCATGAGTAAGTCCATGAACTTTTGTTGACTCACAAGGTACAGCACATTTGTGCTCTTTCATCATCTGAGGCTTTCTTATTTTGTCATGAACTTTTGGAAAATGAATGTATGTAGTTCCTTACCATGTTTTATAGTCAAGCTTCAAACCAATCCATTTATTAAGATAATTATCCAAACAGCGCCTTGATAGTTTTACTTTGACCATGCTTTTAAACAAGGAATGTTTACAATACTACATATGAATATGAAACAAACTTATTACATGTCAGGATAACATAATAGTTACTGTAACTTGGATATTCTAATTGATTTTAACAACATACTATCAATATTTTTTTTATTATATAGCTTTTAAGAGTGAAATAAGCTCTGCTGAAACTGAATCCAAGCAAGGCCAGATGAGGCAAGTAACTTTAGGAAATAGTTTTCCTGATGCCTTTACATCAACTGCTTGCAATGTATCTTCTCTAGTAATCATATATTACAATTTATGGCTCAGCAGATGTGTACTGTACAATTAAAAGTACAACAAGAGTGAAAGGATAGCTTGTAAAAAGGTTACAGACCCCATAAAAAATAAGTTTATGGTTAGGGTTAGGGTATTTTATTCAGCTGTTATTCTGTAAGGAAAAAAGGAAGCTAGTCACATAGATGATAAAGGATTAAAAAAGAAGAGAAATAAGAATAAGGAAATTAGGAAGTTGTTAACAGATCCATGTATATTTTACTAAATACATACAATTGACTTTTATCAGTAGCTCAATACCTGGTACTTAACATTTTTGTTTCAGACTCAAACATGCTCAGACAGAGTTGAAGAAGAAACAATCTGAGCTGAAGAACACAGAGAAGAGCTATAAGAAGGACAAGGATGTTTATGATGCAATTGAAAAGAGTAAATCCAAACTTGAGGTTTGTCATTCTCTAACTTTTAATGGTTTGTGAGAATCAGGCAAATTTTCATTCCCTTGTCTTACCTGATCACCCAAATTTGCAGGTCTAGGCTAATTGCTGTTAATTTGTAATGATTTTTCCATATTTTTATAAGGTTGCTGAATTGTTTTTGCTTAGGATGAAATGAAGAAATTGAAGTATGAAGAGGGAAAAGAGGAAAAACTTATTGCCAGAAGGTATATTATTTTGTACTTAGATGCATTGAAATTAGCTTCCAATCCTGTTCCTCTTTCACTTTGTAAATTCCTTTTTCAGACGTGAGCTGGAGGCTGAGGTTTCTGCGCTAAGGACCAAAGTGGAAACTCTGGAGGCAAAGTACGTTCCACATGCTTCTACAAAAATGTCAATGCTATCCACTTGACTTTGACAAAATATTGGTTGCAACCTTTGTGTTATGCATTGAGATTTCTTTCAATGATTTCAATTTTAAAAAATGTTTCATTAACATTTAGTTTACATGTACTACTTCTTGTTTCAGATTTCCAAACCTTCAGTTTGATTACAGAGATCCAGAAACAGGATTTGATCGCAAGAAGGTGAAGTGAAAAACGGGTATTCTAATCAGGAAAATTTATCAATTGTTGGGTGTGATGGGTTTCAAAACAAAAGTATAGTCACTTGTGAACTTAAGTATGAAGAGGATATAATTTATTTGAACTTTGAAAAAGGAAAGGCTAAGGAGAGGCCAGTCTTTTGCAACAGTTTGGTGGCTGGGTTTGTTATTGCAAAAGAGGATGATCCAAAGTATACTTACAGAGATTCTAAAAGTGGTGGGAACTTTGGGATAAGAACTTTTATGTTGTACTGAAGGGCAAATCATTCTGGGCTATGAAATCTGAGGATGATGCTAATGTATCAGGTTTCTCCACAAATATCTCAAATATCAACTTTTTTTTATCTTCACAACACATTTAAGATCTTGATGCATTTTATGAGTATGAATTTGTTAAAAACAGCAATGTGATGACGTTGAACATTTTCTTTTAATAGGTGAAAGGTCTAGTGGCACAACTGATTCAAGTCAAAGATGTCTCATCTGCTACAGGTCTGGAGGTGACTGCCGGAGGAAAGGTAAGGTTTGTTTTGAAAAATTACCTATAACAGTGTTCTCCTTTTCAGGCAGTAACCAGTAATATTTACTGCCTATAGTACCTCTTATTACCGTTTAAAATTGCTTGGAATTCTTGAAAATTCAACAGGTAAAAGGATTGCTTTACCGGTTTGAAAATTTATTTTACCTGTTATGCTTAAAATAAGGGAGAACACTGTATAAGCAATATAACCTAGTTGAAAACATTATTATTTAACCTGAACCTGTAACTGGACAGAAATGATTCAGTTTTGAGAATGTCAGTGAAGTATCACAGAAAAGGAATCCTAAATTTCCTGTCATTGTTGGAAATTTGATGAAAGATGCCTTAGTATCTATGTCAAATCTGATGCATCTTTAAAAAGAAATTTTAAAAAATATATTGTTGATACATGTACACATACTAGATGAAAAGAGTATCATTCTACTGTGTTAAATAACAACGTTTTCTCTAGTCTACTTTATGTATACTCAGTAAGTCAAACTACAGGCTCCACTTGTTCAGAGGGTGGACACCATTAGCCACTGGATAAATCGCTATCCGCTGGATAGCGCAATTCATTTGATAGCATTATCCTCCCTTTGAACAATTGGGCCCAGGTGTGTATCAAATTATACTGTAATTTGACTCATGTATACATGTGCATACACACAGTGTAAATATACTGTTTTTCCACATGAGCATAATGTTTTTTCATCTTTTAGCTCTATAATGTTGTGATAGACAATGAAGTGACTGGCAAAAAGTTAATAAGCAATGGCAAACTCAAGCGCCGCTACACATTTATTCCACTGAATAAAATTGCTTCCAGAACTCTTTCAAATGATGTTGTGAAAAGAGCAGAAAGCTTGGTGAGTGTAGATTAAAGATTAGACTGTTTCTCTTCCATAATCAGTCATCTATTGCCATCACTCCTTTTATTTAGCTCAATTTGTTCACAACAAACAAACTTATTTGGTGTTTTAATGGAGAGTATGGGTGATCTGTAGTTTCATGTACAGTGTAGTTCTCTAATTTCATTTTTGTGTTAGAAAAGCTTTGAAATTTTGTTTAGGCCAATTAAAAGATGTTGGAAACAAGAAAAGTGAAACTAACCTTTTGAGAATAATTATGAACTACATGTAATTTGATTTGAAGCATTTTTGTTCTTAAACCTGAGAAGTGTATTGATTTTGTCTTTGTAACACGTCTTCATAATCATGTCAGTACATTAAATTACACATTGATTGTATGGACAGATCCTTTTTCTACTGTAAGAAAATGCTTTAATTGCTATTAATTAAATCATTGTTTTATTTCTGGACACTGTTAGGTTGGTAAGGACAATGTCAACCTTGCTTTGTCCCTTGTTGGTTATGATGAAGAGGTCAAAGCAGCTATGGCTTATGTGTTTGGGACTACTTTTGTATGCAATGACATGGATAATGCTAAAAAGGTATTTTGAAGATGTTAGTTACTTAATATTTTAAGAATTACATTTGAAAAAGCTCCAACTGGGCTGTGTTTGAGCACTGTTTGTTGTTTACTGAAGTTGTCATCACTAATTTTGAGATTGTTTTTAAGAAAATGTTGTGCTTGAGTGCTTCTAACAATTCCTGATAGGTAAGGTGAAGTCCTTTAATGAGACTGACTGCATAACTGCAGGAGCCTCTCTTTTCTCATGATGAGGCAACATGGCTGAGTGGTTAGGGTGCTGGACTTGTAATCTGGTGGTCCTGAGTTCAAGTCCTCCACCCTGCCATTTGCTGGTTTGTTCTTGGTTACCCCAAGTTCAACTCCTCGGCAGGGCAGTGTAAATAGCCAACTGGTCCGCCTCCTGCCAGTTGGGATTTCCAAGCACTCTGTTTATTTCAGTCATTGTAAAGCACTATTGGATGGCAATGTAGAAGAGTATACTGAGAATATGTATACTGATGTTAGGTTTTAAAGGGTTAATACAGGCATTGTGAGAGTAAAGTGTCTTGCTCAGGAGAACAACATGAGTGGCTTAAACTAAGGACTTAAAAAGAAAATATTAAAATTAATGGTGTAATGTGTCACCATGCTTACTGCAGGTCACCTATGATCCCAAAGTGCAAGCAAGGTCAGTGACCTTAGGTGGAGACTTATTTGATCCTCAAGGAACAGCCACAGGAGGTACAAAATGTGCAATTGAAGTGTTACATTCATGCAAAACACCTGTAATATGTGAATTGGAATACATGTTTTATCAGTTTGGAAAGGGTAGCAAGATAAACGCCCTCGGAAATACGCCCAACTCAAACTGCCCCTTTCGCCCTTTCGCTTGTCTTTCTTTCTGTGTTTATTTGTTCGTTTTGTTTTATGACTGGTACCATAGCCACATCATGTTCTATGCATTTCAGGTGCACGGGCATCGCATTCCTCAATCCTGGTCAAGCTGCAGGAATTGAATGAGGCACAAGCGACTCTACAAGGCAAAAGTACAGAGCTTCAAAATGTTGTCCAGGAGCTGGACGCCTATAAGAAAATGGCAGAAAAGTAAGCAACTCTTACCTTTGACAACCATTTTATATGTTCGTGAAGAATTAAGGCAGGTTTAAAGACAACTTTGCCTCATATTTTGCCCCTCAGATATCGCCAGATAAAACAGCAGTATGATTTGAAAGTTCATGAAGCTGAACTTGTCCAGGCTCGCCTGAAGCAAAGTACTCATCATCATCAACTGGAGGAGGTTGAAGCTTTGCAGAAAACAGTTGGTAGGTTACCTGCTTGTTTGATTTGAAATTCCTTGGACACAAACGCTCCTGAGATCGTAAATGCAGTAACGTTTCTATGACCTGTGTACTGTATGTGTATTGTGGATAGCCTCGATAGTCAATTGATGGTCGCTCGAAAGTCGATCGTTGAGACTCGATCAACAATCGGTCGATAGTCGAAAAGAACAAGTTTTAAAAATAGTAAAATTTTGAGAACAATGCATTCAACTGCGAACATTCCATGCAACTGCAACCTTGGCCAAACTCAAAATGCACTTCACCCGATTGATGTTGTACTTAATTCATACACTTTTCAGACGAACAGCAAGAATTGATATCAAAGGCGAAAGAAACAATAGCAGTGGCAACTGAGAAGTGCAAAGATGTTGAAAGGAAGATGAAGGTTTGACTGAGTTCTTGTAATAATGTATTTCTCTTTGGAAACGCACTTACTGGATGAACTTTAACCCTCTACACCCTTACATCAGTATGCATATTCTCCATAGTGTTCTCTAAACATTTCCTAAGATGCTGACACTGGAGAATTTGTCTAACAATCAAGAGCTTCTTTAGTTGGTGATCAGCTCCTTTATTCTCCTGACCTTAATATTTGATTCAGGGGTGATATGGTAAGGAGAAATTAGATGCCAGTCACTCTTAGGGGTTAAAGGGTTAAGATAAGAGAGGTAACTTTCTTTATAATAAAGTTATGATATAACGCGCGCTGTCATTGGTTGAAAGAGCGTGCTCTATGAACGTATAGAGCATAGAGCTGAGCTAAAGCTGTCACGCCATCTGCCAAATTGTACTATGTTCGACCTTTTCCGGGACTTCTTTTTAGCTTTTTTCCGATAATTGAAAGTGAAATTTCGGAACAAGCGAGCCGGCAAGTAGCAACAGAAGAACCAAACAAAGGTTTGTAAACACACCAGGCGCCGTAATTTTACGTCATTAAAACGTGAGCAGATATGAAAATCCTCAAAGGAAAAACAGTTCATGTTCACATTCTGCGATAGTTTACAAAACTATCGCAGAATAAAGCACGCAGGAAGCGGCTAGAACACGAAAGAAGTGTAGGGAGAAACACTCGACTACGTCTCGTGTTTCTCCCCACTTCTTGAGCAACACAGAAAAAAAAAAACAGGAGTGGAAAAATAAGAGCTTGCTCTGATTACCTTTCCGATGTGTTGAGTGGAAGGCCACATCAGTCACTGCAGCCGAGTTTTACGGCGCTGTCATTCCGAGCGATCTCATACCCTAGTGAATTCGGCTGTTGTTCATTCATAATACACTCGCCTTGAACAGTTTGTTTTCTACTTGTCATGTGAAATAACTTGCGTATTTTAGTGAGCCACGATTGGGCCGAATTTCACTGAACATTTCACTTTCAGATTCTGTATTAGAAACCAAAAAACTTCAAGCGAAAGTGTTAAATTTTCGACATGCCGAACTATTTAGTTTGTAAGAATATGAATATGAATTTGAACTTTGATGGTTTGACATTTTTGACAGCTTTAGTCTTGTACAGCCAACCAGATTATTTGAACCATTCTAACAGGGATTCTGATTGGCTTATTGTAGCGTGCTTTATGAGAGTATAGAGCATGTTGACGACACTGTTGTTCGCTTTGGAAATAAAGTTTGTTTTGAAAATTGAATGTAATTCTTGGGGAATTTAACGGATTCTTTATTATAAAACAAATAGAAACTGTGGTGCTGCGTTGGTGGGGGTATTAAAAGATAAACTGGTTTTATCATCTGAGTTGAAAATGTAAATTTGCCAACTTAAAGAATATCTAAAGCTTATGATAGTCAGTTCATGCTGAAAGCCACATTTGACTTGATTTCAGGAAGCAAAATCTCATCGTGAAAAAGAACTCAAGACAGCTGAGGAAGAGGTGAAAAAGAGTAAGAAAAAAGCTGAGGAGTCAACAAAGAATATGAAAGCAAAGCAACAGGTAACTTTCGTAGCTTCCTTTAACTGATCTGCTATACATTGATTGAAACATACTCAACTTACTGCTGATATTCTGTAGGAAGTCGAGGAGATGAAGTTAGAAATGGAAGAGCTGAAAAATGAAGGGGCTAAAGTCGATGAGCAAGTAAGCACAGTAGTGTTCAAGAAGGCTTAATTATTTTCCCTTAAAGTCCCTTGCTTAACCCTTTACTTCCTAACATCGATATGTATATTCTCTTTACATTTCCCCATGGCACTGACAAAGAGAATTTGTTTTACAATCCAGAGATTCTTTAGTTGCCAATCATTTCCTCTATTCTCATGACCTAAGTGTTTGATTTAACAGTGATACTGTGAGGAGAAATTCCATGCTAGTCATTCTCGGGACTTAGAGTTAACGTTTTGTTACGTGTCCAAGAAAATTAGAGTAGGGTGTTAAGTTTTGGGTAATAATCTTTTTTTAACACAGGTCAAAGCAGTCGATGAAGCAATTTCAAAAGCTGAGGAGCAAATTGAAAAAATTTCTGAGAGGGCGAAGGAAACAAAGGTGCCTTTGAGTTTGTACTTCATGTTAACTTTGAAAGGTTGTTTTAGTAGGACCCGATGAATAAGCTTTGCTTTTTCTTTCCCTTTTCGGGTGTGCGCCGAAAAAGGACTATTGCTGTATAGGGGAACAATCCTGCCCTTTTTCAACCGGCGAGGAACAAAAATTAATTTACATATAAAAAGGCGTGACTTACTCATTTTCACGTGTGTGGATCGAACCACATGATTTCCCGTTATTAGCGTCTGCGCAGTTTTTGTAGATCTTTTACTGGTTCTTTGCTGTGGCCACTTCTTATTACTTGGATTTTGTTTTATGACCTTTACTAGGAAACTGCTCAATCGATATATCATAATATTGTCTTATCTTTCCATATTAGAAAGCAGTCGAAGAGGCCGCTAAAGAGCTAGATAAACAGAAGGAAGCCCTCAGATCGTGTAATGAGGTACACTGCTTACGCTCCTCTTAACTTCTTGGTCTTGTACCCCTTTCACAATACGGGTTGAACTGAACAAAAATCAGAAACAGAGAACTGAATCATCCATAGGTTTCAAGTAGTCGCTAACTTTTATTTTCAGTGTGCTAAATTTGAAGGCGACAAACATCGGTTTAAGCAGCTCCTTTGAAGGAGACAACTTTCAACCGTGTTTAACAAAACAGCTTGAGGCATTAGTTTCACAATTTCCTAAATGTGTCAAATGCAACCTGAACCATGTTCCTCGTTTCAGTCTCTATTTCATAATATGTCGATGAACTAAGTACATATCGATGGCCTGGCAGGAACTTCACGCACGTTTTGACGCGAAATTGTGCGCGTTTTGACGTGAAAATGTGCATCTCCGTTTCTTTAAAACCGAAACTCAGCTTCTTAGGTAAAAATGTAAACCATAATTTGACCTTGCACTGTGCCTAATGTTCTTGTTTTTGATGTTACAGGCCATTGAAGAGAAAGTGCAGGAACAACAAGGCCTACAGAAACAAGGTCAGGATATTCAGCTGGAGCTTAAGGAGATGGATTATAAAGTGAACAAATTTCAACGCGATAGTAAAGAAGCAGCTTCAAAGGTAATATTGTTGTGTCTAAATAGTAAGCGCATCATGTTTACCGTGCATGGATGAAAGTTTCTCAATATAAATATAACATCTACAAAATTCATTTTTACCTCATCAGGTGGAACAAATGTTGCAAAAATACGACTGGATCGCCAGTGAGAGGAATTTTTTCGGTCAACCGAACAGTGCTTTCGATTTTGCCGCTAACGACATGAAGGATGTCTCTAGACGGCTCAGTAAACTGCAAGAAACGAAAGACAAACTGGGAAAGAACGTGAACATGCGAGCCATGAATATGCTTGGAAAAGCTGAAGAGAAGGTAGTGATACTGCAGGGAAACATTTGAATGCCAATCACTCTTAGAGGTGTAAAGAGTTAATGACTGGATATTGCCATGGTTGTTTTTGTTGTTTTTAACGCAAAATTCATTACCATTTTCTTATGTTTTATCTAATTAATTTGTTTAAGTTATTTCTAATATAATGTTTTACTCCTGAACAGTACAATGATTTAATGAAAAAGAAGCGAATTGTCCTGAACGACAAAGATAAGATTGCATTAGTCATCAAAGAACTTGATGAGAAGAAGAACGAAGCCCTAAGGAACGCTTGGAAGAAAGTGAACAAGGCAAGGTGTTCTACGATGTTGTCTTTCCTTCGAAATAAGTAATCTAAATAAATTTCATATTTCCTCAAAACTATCTACATTTCCGGATAATTTGGTTTTATCAACTTAGTTGACGATGTAAATTGGGCCACCGTATCGTAGCCCATCGTCATTCGCTCTGACGAAGGGCTAAGCCTCGAGACTTCAACTTTAGAACAGCTTTAAGGTGGTCAATATACATTATCAACTCATTTGACGTAACCAAAGCATCTTGTAATAGCCCCCACGGACGCAGCAACACAGTTGCCATAGAAACTAACAGTCTTTATCTATATTTCCGCATTGACATTTTCTAATCAATTAGCCTTTTATTCTTTTTTCGTTTTAGGATTTTGGCTCGATATTTTCTACTCTTCTTCCTGGAACCACAGCAAAGCTGGCTCCCCCAGAAGGACAAACGGAACTCGATGGGCTGGAGGTGAAAGTGGCTTTCGGAAACGTTTGGAAGGAAAGTCTCAGTGAACTAAGTGGTGGACAAAGGTTGGTTTATTGTGCTGTAAACTGATGGAAATACTACAAGCAATCCCTCTGTTTTTGTGTTTTATTTTATTCACTCGTGTGTTATTTCCTTTCGCAGGTCTTTAGTCGCGCTATCACTCATCCTATCCATGTTGCTCTTCAAACCTGCTCCTCTGTACATCCTTGATGAAGTAGACGCCGCCCTGGATCTGTCTCACACACAAAACATCGGCCAAATGCTCAGAGCCCACTTTAAGCATTCCCAGTTCATTGTAGTGTCTTTAAAAGATGGCATGTTTAACAATGCCAATGTCCTCTTTAAAACGAAGTTTGTGGATGGCGTGTCCACGGTCACGCGGTACGCTCAGTCCCAGCCCTCTCGGGATGGTCGGGATGAAGATGGAAGTGGAGCATTGGGAAGGGGAGGGAAGAGCACTGCTAAGAAAAACCCTAGCAAGAGGTTGAGAACTGACACTCCTGCCCAACCTCTTTTGCCATCGCAGGGTTAAACCTCTGGAAATGTGAATAGCTAAGGTTTTGTGGTGTCGTTTGCAGAAATATAAAGCGTACTATCATGTTACTTTGCATCATATTGAAAGTGTAGAGCATTAACCTTCATTGCATCACACTGTTTATCCTTATATATCAGTACATTAACCCTCTGGTAAACAACATCCCTCTCCACAATTCGTTCTCATAAACGTAAACATCTATTTTATTAACAAAAGCATATTTGGGAACTTCTAGATGGGAATTTGAGTTGATAAGTTTACTGTGCTCTCTCGTCACAGTAATGTATGACTATGTTGCGTATACATTCCTCTACTTCATCATGTAACGGTCAAAGTGAAGGTTGTCAGATTTCCTTATTCTGTCAAGTAACTCTTGTGTAAATACCACTTAGGGTACCCGGCTTGAAATAGTGTTCCACTAACCCTAAACACCCTATCATCAGAATGTGTATCCCTCATTCTGTTCTGTATTTATTTCTTGTGGTACTGATAAGGATAATGTTTTTTACACAATGAAGAGCTTTTATTTCTTGGCAATCATTTTCTTTATTCAACTACGTTAAGAAGAAAATAGAGAAGAAGGCTTGATCTGTTATTATAGTTTCTCCCCTACATTGTAAAGTATGAACGATGTACACAAGGGTGCAACTAAAGGGACTTCTTAACGTGCACGTTACTTTGTGGTTAAACTGCCTGTTAAGCCAGTGAGACGCTAGTGTAGATTTATCTTTAGTTCAAATTTCTGTGTTAATTCCCCCCTCCCCTTCCCCCCATGAACTTATCTCTATGAATTACTTGATTATCAAGATTCACTGGGTCTTCAACCCAGGTGGGCTGTTTATCTGTAAAAGGGAATGTATCACAATATCAAAGCGTTCGTTTGTATGAGGTAACTACAGTATTTCTTTGCAGCAAATAAATTCAGCTGTCAAACATACCTTCATTACCGTAACACGTTTTGTAAATGCCACCACATCGGTGCATCCAAACACAAAACCATCGAAAAAACTGTTATGTAAATCTTTACAACCTAACATCAGTATGCCTATACTCCATGCTGTTCTCGATACGATTTCCACATTGTCAGAAATTACGCAATTTTTTTATTGCACGGGATTAAAGCGGACGGGCAAGATGGGTCCGTCTTACCAGATCCACTCGGGGAGCCGATCAGAACAGATTCAATCTCTTTACGGTGGCCAATTTATGTTATCAACTCAGATGATAATACTAAATTAACATGCAAACATACTGCGGGCTCAATTAGTGAATAATGGTAACATTTATTCTCTATATTACGTTATTACAACAACAACGGAGCACAAAAAATTCTGCGCTAACCAAAATAATGAAAATCTCGCCTGAATATATGTAAAACAAATAATTAGTATTTGATTGCTAGCTCGAGATTTCTAGAGGGTTATGTGTAGTTGATGAGGGCGAAGTCTGAATGAAACATCACTATCCATTTAGTCGTTCAAAACTTTAAAATAAGACCGGGGACGGTGAAACCTAATTTCAGCCGGGGAAGGGAGGGGGGGGGGGCTTGAAAACAAGCACTGGGGCGTGAATTTTTAGGGGGATCTGGACAATCCTCCCTCAAAAAGTTTCGAAATCGTGATCTCGGTGGGATAATCTTTGTCTTTCGGACTTTTTTTCCTTAACCTTTCATTTATTTTTCAAAAGTACCAAAATAGTCTCTCCAGTCCCCCCATTCCCTCACCTCTCCCGTCCCTAAAAAAAAGCTTATGTGTTAATAGAAAACGTTTTCAATGATACAAACGAGCTGATGTAACAAAACGCACTTTATTCACCATCTACAACGAAATAGATGGCGAATAGTGTTGTGAATCAGATTGCAGTACTTGTGATACAATGCTTGTAGAGAAATGCTAATACTACCTATAAACACAGTCCGTTTCTCCCGTCAGCGGAAAATTGGGGTAGAGACGTTCCGGGTCCTCTCCAAAGGGAAAAAGGAAAAGAGAATATGATGAGTCTTGCTAAGAAATTCTAATTAAAGCAAGGTTATTATCCACTCTTGATGAGAGTCAAAATATCAACAGCTCCTAGTATGGCTTGTCTAGCGATCGATATCTGACGATCCACCCCAGCATAATCTTTGGTCTCGTCGAGTTTGAAGAGGATATCACTGACACCTGGAAAATTAGAAGCGCCGTACAAATTGTACTTGCTGGGAGCAAAGATCACGTGACGAACCAGGCGTCTTTCCGGCAGGCCATAGGGGTGGATAAAAGCTCTCTCCACCTGGATCATTTGGTCATTGAGCCTGCGCAGTTCTGCAAAACTAGTCTCCTCGTACTTCTCGAGTTTTTCCTCGACTTTTTCCCTGAGTTTACAAAAGTATAACGTTTGAGATAAAGATTTTTTATGTTGAAGTTTTGAAAGCTCGTTTCTCAGAATGTTTGTGAACATCTAGGGAATTGGCTGGCTATGAATTGTGATGATGATAATCTTAATATTATTGATAGCAATAATAATCAATGATTATCATAATAATAAAAATAACATTAATAATGTTAATGACGATGATGATGATGATGATGATGATGATGATGATGATGATGATGCTAATGACAATGTTGACTTTATTTCCGTGCTAATGTAATAGGTTACGATACTTTAACCCTTGACCCTTATGAGAGGCTAGCTTCTAATTTCTCCCCTATGGTGCCACCCCTGAATCAAACATTAAGGTCACGAGAGCAAAGGAAATGATTACCAATGAGAGAAGCTATTGATTTTTAAACAAATGCTCCTTGTTAGTATCCTAGGGAGTGTAAATGGCTAAGCTTTGATTCGCTTTGTGATTGGTCCAGAAAAATCACGCCATCCTCTCAACCAATCAGACGCAGAACTAGAACCAATCACGATTTGGTCATGCGCGTTTTACAGTTTGCCTGGTTTTACTTTGAATTCTCATTGGCTAATGATGAAGCGAATCGTCGGTGTGATTGGCCGCTGAGATCACTTTGTTTTGTTTTCTTCAACGCTCATTTGAAAGATGCTTTAAAACTGAACTGATCTAAAACATTATGATTGTGTGCAACGCTCATATATAAGAATACCTGGCTGTCGAAAAGGTCTTCGCAGTGTCGTAGAACTTTTCAACTGCCATTCTTAAGTAGTCCATCGATCCAGCGTAGTCTTTCAGCTTCTTCGGGTATTCTGAAATCAGGGAATTCAAAGAGTTATTCAGAGCTTCGGCATACGTCATCACATCCATCTTCAGAAGCGGTGCATCTGCGAATTGTAACAGTAGTCCGCCGGTAAGTTGGGTCATAGCCTTATGGAACAAGAATTTTGGATCCACGAACTTTACAGTCCAATTAAACGTATCGTGCTGTGAGTGGTAGACCGGGTAGAACACCGTTTTGTTTTTGTAGCCAAAAATGTAGTAAAAATCGGCTGAAGGGACGCCTGCGTACTGATAGAATGAGGCATAATCACTACCAGAACCCAAATTGCCAACAGCCGGTTTCCCTGGATTGTTTTTAGACGGGTTGCGTTCGAGTGAAATATCGAACACGGTTTTTTTGTCATCGTGTGCGTTGGGATCGTCCACCTTCTTGCTGAAATCCACGATGGTGTTCTTGACTAACGGACTGCCGGAGGCTATCAGGACGTAACTGCCAGACACAATTGTGTCGGTGTTAAGGTAGACCACGGCTCGCTCACCAAGCTCTTTCTGGTGCTGCTCAACCCATTCCGTTGATCCAATGAGACTGTATTCTTCTCCTCCCCAGCTGCAAATCTGTTGATTTGAACAGAAATTTAATTTAGTTTTTTAGTAAAAAGCTTTGGTACCGGCTTGGCTACCGACCAAATATATAAATAATGCGACATCTCCCCCACAGTCTTAATAATTAATACAATTTTGCGAAGCTCAAGATTTTTTCATCGAACGCTTGGAACAAACGTCTCAAACACTTTTCTTCTTTCAGGATTGGTTTTAATCGGCTGTCGACATAAAAAAAAACAAGAATGGTCATATAGGCAAATCTGAACAAAGATTAAGATCCCACCCGCCTATGAGAGCTCAAGTTAAAATCTGGAATTCGTCAAAAGCCCGGGAAAACGCAGGTGACCTAGTCACGATGGGAAACACGATTGATGTTACTTTTGCGTCTGATTGGTTTAAAGAATGGTGTAAGTTTTCTACTCCAATCACAGAGCGATGTAAAGCAAAACTAAGGTAATTCCCTATTACTTTCGATATTCGATTGAAAATTACTCCATGAGAATATATTTCTAATTGTCTCACCTTGATTGTTCGACGTGGTCTCCATCCTGTTTTTAACAATTCTCCAAGCACACGGCCGATCTCAGCGGTCACAGAGGTCCCGGTAGAAGCGTCAATTGCTCCGTGCACCCAGGCATCTCTGTGATTACCAATGAGCACGTACCTGTCCGGTTCCTCCTTCCCGTAGATCGTTCCTATTACATTATAAATGGGCACTTCTTCCAGGTTGTTACTGACGTTCAATTCAACTTCGACTTCGCCCCTGTTGAACTCTGGTCCAAGATGATAGGTGATACCAAGGGTTCCTTTCCATTTTTCAGGCACCACTGATCCTAAAAGCGTCAAAAAGCACAAGAGATTATGCCTTGAACCTGATATAGATGCTTTAAGAGGTATATAGTGCAAGGTCTTTCTAGACTATTAGAGCCGATTGTTGAAACTAGGTCCAATTTAAGCCGCAGTTTTTGACGATCAATGGTTTTCCAATGTTCCTCAAAGGTGGGGTTTTGAAGTAACTAGATTTCTGCTTCAGTGTTAATTAGAAGCCCTATTAACAGTTTGGCGAAAAAGATCACCGTTTTGGTGATATTCATGCTTGATTTAAGATTGTTTAGAGTGCGGTTTGGTTGAATAAGGGATGAACCTTTTTTTGATAACCAGCTCTTAGTCTTTAGAAAGATTTTCCAGTCTTGAGTAACGCTCCCGGCAAGTTCTCAAAACATCCTTTTTGACAAATTATAAAAGAGGAAAATCGTTCAGGAAGGACTAAAGAAGTAACTACGATTGGATTGAGTTTCACTAAAAAATTGCACAGAAGCGCAATTGCATGACTTGAAGTGTACTTAAGGACATGGGTTAGAACTCGGTTGAAAACCAATACGCATGCACTCGAAAGTGCGTGAGCATGATTGATGTTTGGAAATTTCACATATTTTTTTCCTAATCGATTACCTGACATTTCTTGCAAAAAATTAATGGCATCTCCGTATCCCATAGGATGCGCCGGGATTGGAGGAAGCTCGCTTTCATTTCGCGGCCTTCGGTACATCCCTGTAAGTGCTGCTATACCAGGGGTTTGGGGGTCTCCACTCCCAGGCATTGTATACAGGGATCCCCGCTGCACCCCACTGGCAGGAAGCCACGCCTTGTTAGGGTATGTATTCTCCTCCTCTCCACCCTCCATGGCGTAATCCGCTGGATCCGAGTAGAGGATGGCTCCTATTGCACCGTAGCTATGCGCATTAGCAATCTGAAAAGAAAAATTAGTTCGTTTTTTTTTTGTTTCGTTTTTCCTCAACAAAAAGTGTTAAAAAGAAGCACCAATACCTGCGACAATACAACTTGAGCAAACACGTTATAATTCCAAAAGTTTTAACAGAGGAACAAGTTACCACGGGTGTAATTCCTGAGTTCAGTCCGAGCTAAGAGGGTTCATTTTGACGCCTCAAACTGAATAACCCAGAGAGAGGCCTGTGGTGCTTTCCACGTTGAAGCTTAAATGTCAAATAAAACCCCATGGTACACTCCACGCGCATGTACTAGAATCTTTGGCAGTTCTGGAGTTACCTTATTTCCCCGGTATATTTTCCCATATCTCATGATGGCAATTTTTCCGGTCACATTGACGCCGAGTTTTTTGAGCTGCTTGAAGTCGTCAACCTGACCATAATTAACGTACACAAGTTCACCCTTGACATGCCCGCTCGGACTGTAACCAAGGAAGGGCTGAACGACTCCAGGTTGTGATCCTCCCTCCTAAAATGTAAAAAAAAAAAATTAACTTGTTTCCCGAAGCTTTTTTCTGAATGCCAGTAATTCAGAGATGAGGAGGTTGAGCCGAAACAGTTGATCCGAGCTCTTCTCCTCCGGCCCTTTTTCAATTGTTATGGAAGACATTTTTAGAGTCCGACTTCCTGGTCTCCTGGGGGAAAAATATTTCGCGTGCACCCCGCATGTTCCTTGAATGTTACGCTAACACAACACTCCGGTAGCCCCATGCGTGTGCATGATCAAGATCAGTACGCGCGAGCGACACGTCATGTGCAAGGGTCAGAGAGTGTCTGATTTCTTTCTCGCTTGAGTTACTTTTGTTATCGCCGAGTGCGTGTAAGCAAGATTGGGACTGTCCACATGAGCAAGATGTTTCACACTGGACTAGTTACCGATACACACTCCTACATAACATAGGAGGGTATAACTTAACGATAAGGGCAACTATGAGTGATTCTTTCTCTCAGCTTTAGTGCGTGGAGTTCGAGAATGATTCGTCTACTCTCGAATTTGTGATTTGAAGTTTTTATCTGTCTTCCTTTATACTCCTATAACATTACACACAGAGATATTGTTCCAACATTGAGATACTTAGAAAGCTGTCTCGCAGATAATAGGCGTTCTGTAATCGATGAAGGTAATAGGAACATCTAGTCTTTTAACTGCAAATCAAACTACTAAAGAGCTACTAGAAATGCCTTGTGGTTAGTTAAGTTTTCAAAGATTACGCGCACGATTTTTAAACTTCTTAGCGCTTCCTGCAAATAAGTTCATCCGCAGCCCCAAATGTAGACCTTATGTAAGCCCATATGATTCGTACCTGTTCTTCTCCCTTGACTTGGTAAATGACAGTACCGTTCTTGTATTTGATAGTAATCCTCGTTTTCTTGATTAAGTCTGGTTTAGACAACAGTGCTTGATACTCTGGCTTTTCAACTTTATCAAATCCATATTCCTTAAAACGCCTTTCAAGTTCGTTGGCAAGTTCTTTCTGGCGTGGTGAGCCCGCGATATGGGGTTTTTCAGAGAAATACCTGTAGAAACGAAGGCAGAACTTTTCTGTGTAAATTCGATAATCTCTTTATATCAACCCGCTTGAAGCATGGAAACTTTATTTCACCTTCCCTCCCCTCCGCACTCACCTATGATAATAATTGTATTTACTTGAAATTTGTTCATTGCTAACCTTTTTCAATCTTTATACAGTAAATAATTTGAATCCGGGAGTAACATTTGATCGACGATCTGACAAGGGCTGTTGTTAGTTGTAGCAATCGACGTTTCAACAACCTGAGCGGAAGTCATCATCAAAGTCAAATGAAGTGCTGTTGTCAGTCAATTGTTATAAGTCCGGTTCGTGTTAACTGATTGATCTGTTTAGCCGTGACCTTATTAGCCGTAAGACTCGAGTGGTGTGAGTCGGTCGTGATTGGTCAGTCAGAACCGTACTTTTAACACTCGATTGAAAACAACTCTTCACTTGACTCTGATGATGTCAGCCATTAATACTGATATTAGACCTTTCCTAGGACTACTCTCCCCCGGAAGATCAGACTGCACGATGAAATATAATCATAATTAACTTCTGCTATCAATTAATCTTAAGTAACCTATACCTGTGAGGAAAAGTGACTTTGACCTCAAGTTTTACACTATGTCTTACTTATTTTATGTTTTAAATTTTACTTTTAAGGAAAGTCCTGGGTTTCAATGATGAATTTTTTTTTCCTGAGAAGCCCATTTTATACACTTTAAAATGACATATTGTAGGTGCGCGCGTTGAGATATGAATTGAAAACTGAATGTGGACAAATTTTTGCTAATTTTTTTGGAATGACATGGGTGCACATAAAAATTCATAAAAAATTCATTATTTATTCTTTTTCTTTCAGATTTTCAGGAAATGTTGCTGACATGTCAATAATTAACTTCTGTTGTCAATTAATCTTAAGTAACCTATACCTGTGAGGAAAAGTGACTTTTGACCTCAAGTTTTACACTATGTCTTACTTATTTTGTGTTTTAAATTTTACTTTTTAGGAAAGTCCTGGGTTTCAATGATGAATTTTTTTTTTCCTGAGAAGCCCATTTTATACACTTTAAAATGACATATTGTAGGTGTTATTCCTGTAAATATTTGTTGAGATATGAATTAAAAACTGAATGTGGACAAATTTGTGCGTTTTTTGTAACTGCTGGTGTTGGGTTAATGTTATAAAATTAATTATTCCTTCCTGATCATGAATGATAACGATGTTTTACTAATCACAGAGTCATACACGTGCAGCATTACTGTATTTTGAGCTGCGCGCGCGACTCTGAAGCTAAGTCTCCTGTACCGAGTATCCACTTTCGTTAATAGCTGTACAAAGTTTTTTAAGTCCCTCTCGCACACCCTTCTCCTTTTTGAACTGAATCGCCGGGCAAGCATGTAGATAATCACTTTTTCTTAAGGTGAGACGATCGATTAAAAATCAGTGCTTATTGGCTATTTATAGTCCATGAAATCCATAAAATCTGCGCTTTCAATTATCTTTGCATCCCATGCGATACTCTACAAATATCTCATGGATCACGAAAGGGATTAATTTCAATAAGGGCTTTGAATTACGCTTATGTACTTACCATGCAAAGACATAATAAACAGAAGATCCCAGGGAAAAATTTCCATAATTCTTGCGTTATCTAATCAGGCAGCGACAATATATTTAGTTGAGGTTAAGAAATTACTACTCTAGTGAGCTTTGGCAAACTACCATAGATTGGTTTATTCACCAGATTACATCCTTTGTAAATTTGATTAAACTGAAACACTCAAAACGACTCGGAAGCAGCCGGAGCTACTTGCATAATAAAATTTAATGGAAGCGTATTTGAAACCGATTGACTTACTTGAGGTTCCCTTCGAGGGCTTCTGCTTTGACAGTCGATTGGAACATCTCATGAAAGCGCATCATATCCTTGTGCTTTTTTTGCATTTCGGCTTTCTTATCGTGCCCATTTGGCCGCTCCTTTTCATGGTCTTCTCTTTTAGTTTTCTTTGCAAAGTATCCGATCAAGAACCCAATGATAAATACAAGAATAACAGCGACAATTGCACCGATACAGCGAACCCTTCGCTGCTTTTTTTTCTTCTTGTAAGTCAGCTCAACAGTATCATCCATTGCAGTAACGTAGCAGTGATTTGGGCCGAGCTACGGGGCAGATATTAATTGTGAAATGACACCAAATGCAAGGAGAACAACGCCTTTAGATAAGTCTTAGTCAAAAATTACTGGCGCAGCCGAAATGTTATCGTTCATTGCACAGCTTTTGTTATGCAAATCTATTGCTTCAAATATTGGTTGCCTCAATTCAATTTGGAACAAATGGAACTTTGCGTGACTTCGTTGCTTTATTTATAACAGTATCGCTTACATAAGAAATCTGTTGTTTGGCTGTTCCGCTTGGATTTCCTAAATAGCCATAATAATTAAAGCATTTTAGTATGACCGCTAGCTACAAGATAATAAGGTCAACACGATTAAATGGCATCCGACCTCCAACACTAACAAATGTGCATTATTTAAACAACACCATCTGACTACTTCGGTTTTACACTAAGCTTAATCTACAAATTTCAATTGCTATGGCAACTAAAACTTCACTTGGGAGAATGCTTTAGTGCAACATGACCTATGGTTGGGCCTCTTTTATGATAAAGTGCCTTTCATAGTGCCTAAGGGGCTGTGCAACGAGCTAGACGCAAGAAGAAAAAGAGCCCTTTGTTGTTTATCCGCCGCCTTTGAAGTGTTATCTGCAGGGAAGACCGTGCCCTGAAGGAGATATTATTGTAGACAGATCAGAGGGCTTAAAAACTGAGAGTCATTAAAGAAAAAAATGTTTTGATCAAGACGGCCACTCAGGGCAAAGAGCAATATTCTAAGGAACCGAAACAAATTTTGCAAATGGTTTGAAGCGCGGGAAAACGCGTGTGAGTAAGGCGCGGTTGGTTATTCCGTTTCTGATTGATTGACATCGTGATGCAAGTTCGTTAAACCAATAACAGTGCTTAGCTAGGAAATGCCGGTAAAATCCCTGAAAGTGGAAATCTGTTTGGTCAGCTTATCCTTTGTTTCCACTAGACTGCTTTTCGTGTGCCGCAATCCCAGAGTTCGGCGGGAGCGCTAACATAATTTTTTTAACTCACGCGACGGACTTTGCCGTAAAGGATGGACAGATCATATTCTATTGTTTTACTTACGGGGACCTCAAACCACATGACGAAGTAAACAGTGCGATCTTAACACTCAGACATACTTAATTGACTTTCTATAAATAACAGACTTATTATTTCTGCCGTCGATTGTTATGGCAACTGTCAAAACATTCTGACATTTTAACATTGGTTACAATTTTGACCGCATGCTGAGTAAACACATTTTAAAAACTTACATCTAATCTTTTATCTTATCAATTTCACCCGTCTGAAATTCATGGTAATTAGCAACGTACTTGAGACAACTCCTATTGCTTAGTGTTTAAGGTACCTCGCCTACAGATTTCTTTTGTGGATCTATTTTACTATACTTTGTTCGTACTTTCGTAGGTGAACAATAAAATCTTAAATTCCTTCATACCTTCGAGCTTACATTTAATGATAAGAAAAGAAAACAAATATGACAGTTGCAACATCTAAACGCTGACAGTTAGAATACTTTATCAGTGGCACCCGTTCTCAGATTCTCTGAGATAGCACGCTATGCATCCATGGATAATTTCCTGCAAATTGCAGTATTACTAATATTTGCGCTTGCCGTTTTACAGAGTACGATCGTATTTTATTATGTCCCCTATTGGCCACGGAACGATCCTCTGATACGGATGTTGATGACAATAACAATAGCTTCCTTCGAACCGGTCTTATAGGAAACAGTTGGTTGCACAACGTACCTACGTGTAAACGGATTAACCCACAAACCGCAAATTTCAAGTACACACCATGTTTAGAGTACATACTTGAAGGCATATTTTAAAATAAAATCTCTGATTGCGAGCCACCCTGCATGATCAGTCAAGGATAGCCATGCGATTAGTTCATAATTTTCGCTATTGCTGTGCGTTTGCGGTTCAGTTGGCAAATGACGAGAGTCGACGAGAATTTCATGGTGTAGTATTAACGACGAAAAAACGCAGAAGGTCGCCTCGAGAATTTATTTTTGCTGTTGATAAAATAGACGACACTAATTCTCTTGCATACAACTAGTATCTAATTTTTCCGAGGTTAGCTTGGCATTATATACGACGATGGAGCCATGTATGATAGACTCTCACTATACAATAACTGAAAAATTAGGTCTTTGTTAGCTGAAACGCAAGTAGATCTAACGAAAGTAACCTGATTCGACGCTAGGGCGGCAATTCGAGGGTCTTAAACAAAGAAGTAGCCAACTTACTTGAGGTGTTCTTCAAGTTGTTCCGAGTCCACAGTGGATTGAAATTTCTCGTGAAAATTCATCATTTCTTTTTGTTGCTTTTCGAGCTCAGCTCTTCGTTGAGATTTTTCATCTCCAGGTTTGGTTTTGTCTTCCTGATCAGCATCCTTCTTGTCCGACCTGTTTACTCCAAAAACTCCTATCAACATTCCAATGGCGAACGCAATTAGGATCGCAACAACTGCGATAACAATGAGGATCCTTCGATTCTTTTCTATTGCTCCCGAATTTTCACCCTCTTTTTCATAACGGGCCATGCTACAAGAGAAGCTTGAGAGTACACTGTTTTACCAACAAGGAATCTGTTTACTGGTTGTCAAAATGAGGGTGCGTGGAATGTTCCGTATGCTCCACTGTGTGTCAATAACAAAGGGTCGAATTTGATCCTCCCTGTTGACAGACTGTCCCGCAATAATTTATTCGATAGCGCTCGTGAAAAAAGGCTTTTCTAAAGATTACACGTAATCAGATTGAAACTATATCTTCATCTGTCCAACCTAAAAATTAGAAAGCACCGAACAACGGCAGTCGAACACAATTTAACACAATAGTTTAAAGTAAAAAAAAGGGAAAGGAAAAGCTAATGAAAGAAAGTCAAAGGTGATCCCTGATCATTTAAGTATGTAAGAACGCGGCATGCCGGTGACATTTTGGACGGGATTCCAGCTTGTTTCCGTTCCCGTACGGGATCCCGGCGTGATTTTTGGCGGGATCCTGGTGTGTTTCTATGCGGGATCCCGGCGTGATTTACTGCAGGATCCAGGTATGTTCCCGTGCGGGGTCCTGGTGTGTTTTTCCACGGGACTCCGGCGTGATTTACAGCGGTATCCTGGCATGTTTCCGCGCGGGATCCGTACGGGATTCTGGCGTGATTTTGTGGGATCCTGTCGTGTTCCCGTGCGGGTTCCCGGCATGATTTTTAACGGGATCGTGGCATGCTTTCGAGCGGGATCTTACTGCAATTTCGGGTGCGATCCCTAAGCGCGATCTCGAGGGCATTTTAAAGAAAGGATATTCCTTTTTATTGAAATGACTAGAATTCAAACAGAAATGCAGAGGAAACCAAATAGTTAATGAATACAGAAATTGATAGAAAAGTCAAAGGAAAGGGCGAAACAAAACATCCTCCGGAACATGAAAAGGGACGAACGAAAATATGGTACAGAGATAAAAGTCAGCGTGAAAGCGAAGACTAATTGAAAGATCAATGGATAAACTCCGTTGCAAATATCATATAAACTTTCCGGCTGGAACGCTTTCTCCATCGTTGTCTTATGTAGTCTTAGTGCAATTTTAGCCTCACCCCACCCTACAAGAATGTTTACAACCGGTATCGATAATTTTTTTCCCAGGAGGCCATTTGAATATAATGCTATGCAGCCCGGCCTGCGGTCAGTGCATTACTTCAGTTCAGTGAAGCTATCCTTGTAAATATTGGTTAATTTGATTTCTTTTCCTCTTCTCCTCTTGCTTTGGTCGCTATAAATCGCAAACATTATGGACGAGGAGTTGATGTGTGAAAGTCTGATGAAATGGGTGAGTTTAAATGGTGGAATTCCAGTTGATTGTCTTCTTTCTAGTTCTCTCTTTGGCGACATAGCTATCCTGAAGAATTTGCTCAATTTAACATCTGGTCATATCGTTGTATTAACAATAGATATGAATTTCGCATTCAATTTCCGTGCCTGTAGGTCGGTACCTTTGAAGGAATAAAAGCTCCGCACAAAACCATCGAGGAATTGACTGATGGCGTCGCTCTTTCAGAATGTTTAGCCGAAATGTAAGTGGATTGTTGAGCTTAATTAATTACACAATATTCAAAAAGTCCTAATGGTTAATTTTATTTTTGTATTTTGGTACATTCTCACTATCAAACTCAAAGGCTTTGGTGATATTGCCCGCTTCCGATTGCGATAAATTTGATTTTTTTGGCTGATTTTAGATGCTTATCACTCGGAATGAACAGTTAACTTCTATCTTGAAAATTATAAAGACTCCAACTGTTCTGTTTAGATAACTACTGTTTATGAACGAGCTATTGTTGATTATTTGAATGACATAGACTGCATTGGATTTATCCTTCCTAATTTTGCTTCATTACTACTTGAAACGGTTTGAATTTAACATAGGCTAGTCTCGTGTAAGAATGTATTCATGACAATTCCCCATCACTTTGTATGTGTCAGTGTTAAGTTTTGTATCCAGAATTTCACACTGTCACGTATCCCTTTTCTACGGTTAAACTTTATTAGGATTTAGTAATTTAAAGTGATGCTTAATAGGACTTATTTAAATGTCCATAGACCCAAGCTGTTTCCTCAAATTTATTAGTTAGAGCCACTTCCAGGATCATAAGCAATTGTATAATTATTGTTTCTTGAGTTACCTTGTCTCTCTAGAAGGTGTGGGGTTTTTAGCTAAAAAAATGGTGTGTTGATTAAGATTACAACTGAACTGGCTCAAATGGAGTTCAATTAATAAAATTTTGTTCCCAATACTTTGCAACTCCTTTATGGCATGGCTAAAAAACTACACAGTAACAAGATGCAGAATGCAGGAAATGTAAAGAGGATGTCGCAAACAATTTCTTAAAACAACATTGTATTCCATCTATCATATGTGTTATAGAAGCACTGATGCTTAAGATAGTCAGGAGTTTATTCAAACCTCATACCAAGGATATGTTTCTATGTCAAATTTTTGTGTGTGCATTACCAGTAGTTGCCATTCAAAATCCAGCAGGTAATTATCTCTTTCTATGTCAGCAATTTAGCCAATAGTAGGCAATTACCAACAACCCAGAAAGCCTTAATTTTCAAGCTATTTTGCAAACAAGGGGATTCAGAAGGCCAAC